AAAAAAAAAAAAACAAACAAACAAAAAACAAAACAAAAGAAAAATCAGAGAGAGAGAGAGAGAGAGAGAGAGAAATTATATTTCAAAAAGGGATATTCACGAATACTGCCCTAAGTTTTAGCTTAAGTACAAAAAAGGCCAGTTATCTATCTTCTAGAATTACAATCGTCACCATAGTATATGTTTTTATTTAGAAATTGCAACCTTTTGAGGCCGTGATTTGGTGAACTAATACGATGATCAAGAAGATATCATTTGCAATTCTAACAGATAATCAGACCATTCTTTCAATTACTTCTACATATTACAAGTCAATATTACGAGGAGCACGTCATCTACACTAATTGTTTGTGACAGGAAAGTTGTCCAATCTAAGACAAATATAATTATTGGCAACATTTTAATCGAGTAGCTTCTCCTCACCCTAACAGTCTGCCCACACTTTGGGCAAATTCAGTTAAACTGCCCCTGAAAAATTCTAGAGAGAAGTCCTGCAGGTTTCAATAACAAAGTTTGGAGTTCATGGAACAATTCAACCCGTTGCCAGCAATATATAGCACATATACGTACATATAAATATATAAATTGCACCAAACACAATAAAAAAATAGCATCACACTCCGTTAAAAATAACATTATTACAGTTGTTACACTAAGAAATGGTTCTTATTTGAACCACATCCTATATATATATACATGATAACTGAAAATTGTTTCAGCACAAGCATCCATGCCTAGTTTGACAGGCTATTTTAGTTTAACTTAAGGGAGGATACAAAGCCAACACCCATTTATCCAACTAGGCTCGCAACAAAAGGGCTAACTGTTTTGTTTATTAATTAAGTATCCATTACCATGGGTAATTTATATGGGAAATCCCACTTTGAGATTCATTGAAAAACTACCCATGAGGTTTAGCTCAACCTTTATTTTTAGTACAATGAAAGACAGATATAATTCTACAAATTTCACCCTTAAGAAAGGATAATTTTTCGGAAAATATAAGCCTTAAGAAAGTGTTATCGGGTATTTGTAATTTTGCATTTCACAAAACTACAGGAGTCTATTTTAAATATGCTTAGCCTCTGTCTTGGTAATTATCTTAAAGCCAGATGAAAAACCAAAAAGAAGGAATTTTTTCTGGAAATATCAAACAAATGCTGTTACCTTGGGTAATTTGTTTTGGTCTGCAAGGTGATCAACATGAAGTCTCACATTAGACGCAGCAGGAATCCATAGACTGCGGTCAACATCCGCATATGTATATGAAACAATATCAAACAATGTTTTTGCTCCATTTTCAATGGCTTTAGAGATGGTAGATTCTCTACTTCTCCGGTTTCTGAAAATTTAAAAATAATATAAATAGTTAAAAAAAAAAAAACTTTAATTTATTCACAGGTTTCTTTGCTGTCAGGATATTTGTTCACTTACTTAAGATATCCACAAAGCATGTGCTTTGGCCACAAGTTAACTCTACCATGCATAGGAATTAGTACATGTGGTGACAGCTCTATGAACTTGTACGTTGTGCGAAAATAATCCTGCAATAGGTAAGATATTTAGTTCAGAGTAATAGAGGTATATAAAATGGGCCCTTCAATGATTGCTTTTACTTGATCCATTTGAACATATTTCTGGTTAACTCTCAAATTGGATACAACTCTTATTATTCACTATATCTTTATCAACCGCATTTAAAAAAATAATAATAATAATAAAAGGAAAAATAAAGTAAAAGAATTAAGTGACTTTGGGTAATGGCGGTATAAATACAACAGCCAGTCATCAAGATAATCAACTTTACGTCCCCATTCAGAGAGAAACAGAATTTTACTAGTTCTTTCGGATTGATTGATAATCAACATAGGCATCCCATAAATTGTATAAAAAAATAGTTTTGAGTAAACTTACACTCATATTTCCACCGGACGTGATATCCAAGAGCGCACTACCTTGTCTGAAATAGAATAGATTCATTAGCTAAGCACACATCCACATATTCAAAAATAGGATTTGAAAATAATCTAAAGAAATCGTGATACTATGTAAACAACCGATACTATTCTGCTAATTCATTATGCCATCTTTTTTGCGGAAAAAACTACTGGTCTAGCTATCGATATATAAATCAGAAATTTTGACCCTGTAGTTGTATGCATAAGGACATGCATTTTCCGCATTATTAACAATCAATAATTTATATTCCTAAAATTAGACGACTATCGATAACTTACCCTACACAATGATCCCCAACTATCAATGAGTTGGTGGTGACATGAAGCAATGCCAGGTGGCCATCTGTATGCCCCTGATAAAATTTCACAATGAAAAATGATAAATTGTTCAAGTTCAAACAAAATGGTGGCACACAAAACAAGCCAATATACCTAATTAAGGTTCACATGTACATAAAATATAACAGATGTTGCTTAATATGGGCAGCAGACATGGCATAATTGAACGAAGACGATTTTTTATTAAGCCAAATACATGAGTGGACATTTTTATTTTTATGGAGGAGGTGCACCAGAACAAGTTGTACTCTATACTAAAATTGTAAAGGGAGGGTCCTATTATATCCCATCTGTTATTTGCAGATGACTCAATCTTTTTCTGCAAGGCATGCTCACCAAGCAATGTTATTGAAGAGCATTCTTGAGAAATACCATCTTTTCACAGGACAAAAGGTCAACCTGAGCAAGTCATCTGTCTTTTTCAGCAGGAATACCAAATTGCAATAAAGGATTGTATCTGTGCTATCTTTCAAGGGATTGAGACTCACACTTCTACAAGGTATCTTGGCCTACCTTTAGGTATAGGGAAGTCGAAGACAGAGGCTTTTTCCTTTATAGTTGAGACAGTGAAATCAAGAATAACAACAACAACAACAACAACAACAACATACCCAGTATATTCCCAACAGGTTGGGGTCTGGGGGGTCAGTTGTACGCAGACCTTACCCTTGTAATTATACAAGGAGGCTGTTTCCGTAGCGACCCAAGGTGCATTACGCCGTTTGATAAATTTTTTTTTTTCTAGAAACTTCACTAATAGAAGAAGCACTAGAATTTAATTGAGCCATTTTGATCTAGTCCATTATTAGCACTATGCCAGGAGAATTGTCAACAATGACTCTTCCAGCTCCATTTGCAATGGACAAAAAATCAAGAATAACAAGTTGGAAAAATAAGCTTCTACCCACAGCTGGAAAGGAGGTGTTGATGAAGACTGTCTTAAATGCTTTGCCGGTATTTGCTATGTCATGTTTTAAATTACCAGTAACTCTATACAAAGTGATTACAGGTGTGTGTGCCCAATTTTGGTGGAGTAAAGGAGAAGATCAACAGAGAGGGGTGCATTGCATTGGAGAGATTGGAAAATGTTGTCTTTCCCGAAAGCTAATGGAGGAATACCACATTGCAAGTATGTGATAATTTGGGTGTTTCCTATTGTACAAACTTTATGATTTCGGCTTTGGTTAATGTTATCCTATCGTTCCGAACAAAAAAAAAAAGAAGAAGAATTAGAAGTAAATNAAAAAAAAAAAAAAAATATTTATTACAAAAGGCATAATGAGAGGAATTTACTGGGGCGGAAATGAGTCTCAACCGTTGGCCACCAACACAGATTTCCTCAGATCCTAGAACTGGGATATATCCCAGAGACCAATCATCTGTATCCAAAAACAAAATAATTGTAATAATAATAAATAAATGTTTATATTCACAGTTCGCGTGGTAGCAGCACATTCATATGATAACCAAATTTTACGCACTGGTTATGAATTCAGTCTTTTAAAGTCCAATTTACCTAAAGTACAATAAGAACATTAATAGGTCATTCAACCATAAGACTCATCCAAGGATATCTATTAGGTTCTAATAGGTTTAAGACACTTTGCTCATGATTCAAACTAGGAGGATAATCTGTCCATGAACTTGAGTCTTAAAGGTAATTTAGTTCACATGTTATTTTCTGTCAGAAAAGGAAAAGAAAGGGCAACTTTAAACACAAAAGTAGGTATATGTCACAAATGAAATTGTTTCTTGAATCATAAGTTTCAAACGAATTGAGAAATCATCACACACCTTTACTAATCCGGTTAAAAGTGTTTTCATGAGCCACGAGAGCAGCATCAGGATTGCACTTCTGGACAATAGAGAGACCTGCAAGATCATCACGGCTTATTATATATCTATGAGCAGAAAAAAAAATTAAAAAAAAAAATAAAAAAAATAATAATGTTACACCAGCCATTATTACACAAGAATAGGAAAAATAATGAAAATTTCTAAAATTCTCACCATCAACATGATCATGATGATGATGAGTCACAAACACGACCAACTTTTGCGGAAGCCTCTTAATAATTTCTTCGAGCTGATAGCATAACACAAAATGTCAATAATATCATCAAGGTATTTTTTTTTAAAAAAAATAGAAATAAACTATAAAACGGTGACCTATATTAATGCATATTGCGTGTAGAATGAATCACTCAAGAAAAATTTGTAGATAATAAATAATCCACAACTCACTCCCACAAACAACCATCCTTGGAGAGTTATAGCTTGCATTCATGGCGTAATTAGTATAATCCAAATTTAAGGATAATCGGGGGGAAAATACTGAAGGAATACAATCTTGTCATTTTAATGTAATTATTTTTGGTACCATCATTCAAAAACTGAAGAATCATAAATAAGCCAGCCCCCTAATTTATATCTTTATTTTATTCTGTGATGATTTAAAAAGACATTGCAATACCTCTTTGTGCATGCTAGAGCTGCATCCAGGATCTATAATGAGTGCATCTGCCCTTGCAACAAAATTATTACCACATAAGCCATCATAACTAGTCCCAGGAGAAAAAACGACCAAGTTTGTTGTGTGAAAAGGCTTTGCTGTTCTGCTTCTCATTGGAATAATTTTAACACCAGGAGGATATTCCTGAAAAAAGGAGACCATCATGCGCCAAAACTGTGATAGTTCAAAAGGAAATTCATGGATAAAGCTACAGCACCTAAGTACAACCATATCATATTTGCAAAATGGTTCACCAGAAAACAAAAAATATAATTATGACGAAGAAAAAGAAACAACAGCAAAAACGCAGAAAAATAGAACAGGTAGAACAAGAAAATATAGATGAAAATGACAAATTACCTCTGATTAATTTTTTCTTTCTCCATCATCTAAAGAAATAAACATACCTGAGATCTCAAGGTGGGAGGGAGTTGCAAATTTGCGCATTGCATTGAATCATTAAGAAGACCAAGAGCAACTAATGGCCCTATGCGATCATTACTGGAGTTCACTTCCGTAAGCAAACATGAACATTCTTTTATGCTCATCCACTTACAACAATCTGTATTGGTAACAGACAAAAATCATACAACTAACGCATAACACTAACCAGCCATCACTTATAATATCTTACCTTACTAATTCACACACGCACACACATTCCATGATTGCAGATAAATGAAGCAAGCAAACCTCAAAACAAGTACTGCAAATATAGTAATCATATAAATATTAGGATATTCATGAACCCAAAAAACGTGCAGATTACGCCAGATGTGCTTCTATACTACATGATTACATGTTAAACAAGAATAATAGAAATTCGAAGCAGTACGGAAGCTGAAAAGTTAAAAAAATAAATCCAAGCTTTATCACTTTTGAGTCTTAACAAATGTCATATGGGCAGAGTTTTCAAAACAGTACCTTTTTGTCATCTGAGCAAGAAGCTATATAAGATTATTCTAAGAAACACTAAAAAGAAATAGTTCCATTAGTTTTCCCAGGCATCCTATTATGACAACATGATTCTACGTCCCTAAAAGAGTACACTGAGCTATCATACAGGGAATATGAGATATGAAGCAAAAATAGGAATTACAAACCTTCTAAATTCCCATCATGACACTCTAGTTTCCCAACAATATACACAGTCTTCACAGGATCACCAGGTCCAAATTCAGGTTCCTCTACAACCTTTGAGAAACTCCACTTTATATTAATGGGTTTCTCAAGTACAGCTTGTTCAAGAACCTATAAAAGAGACATTCAGAAACAAAATTAACGTGTAGCTATATTAGGCAATGCAGAAATCGTAAGGAATCAAGTAATATAAACCAATGTGGAGATCAAAATTACTCAATATTTTTATCTACTACGGGATATGCTTGCAAACCAAAAAAAAAAAAAAAGAAAAAAGTGATTCTCAGCTCATAGTTGGAAAAATCCTCTGAAAATTTCCCTGCCTTGAAGTTGACCAATCAATTCTTGTAGAATTTGCGCCCACTCATGAGATTTCATACCCTTTATCCATGTGAACATATAACCATCTTTCGGACAAAGAGTGTCATAGCAGGAAAAACCATTCACACACATGATTCACAAAAGAATAATGATAATACTTTTTCAATTTTACAGTTTTCTATTCTTACCTTTTTAAATGTTATAAATTTTCGGTCAAGTAAATTAACTTATATTGATTCTGTACCTATGGGATTTCAAATAAAAATAAATTTTTACTGGAAATGAGATTCATACAACTCCGTTTTCATAACCAAACACGAATTGTCAAATGAATAGAATTCAAATCCAAACTATTTGGAATATATAGGCACAAACATTAAAAAGAACAGTAACAGCATTAGCAAACCCATAAAGTTCTAAAACAGCAAATGAAAATGAGCTATATTTCGTGTCAGGACCATCCATAAATGTCATTAAGAGTTTAAGACAAGACTTTGCACAGTAACAGAAGTAGAGGGAAAGCAAATGACTAGGAATGGGGGTTTCATCGGCTTGTAGTTTGCTGACGGCTTAGTAGTTAGTACCCATGGAAGTCAAAGTTCACTAAAAAAGTGGACAAATTTTCTGCTTAAGCCCGATTACCACATCAACTAGTAGCCAGTTTAACTTACAAGCACCAAGTAACCCAATGTAATTCAAGAAGCACGCACTCAAATTCAAAATTCAAAAGCAGTACACGAATAAGCAATTCCCACATTCTTGGCACGTAAACTAATTCATAAAAAAACTTGAAAAATGCGTTATTATGCAGCAGATTACCTGGTCAACAGCTGAATCAAGATCAAATTGGCTCAAAAAATCTGGCAAAGAATTTCCCTCAGCTTCGATTTGAACTCGGCAACTACTCGGTGGGTTATCAATACGTGATAATTCTGCAGAGGGCAAGTCCCAAAGTTGAGAATCTTGATAAGAATCATACTCAGGATCGTTGAATTTGTGAGGTGGGTTTTGCTTGATGAGGACAATCTCGTCGTCGTTTGATGGGTTCCTGAAAATCACCGCCAAGAACACTTTTTGAGTGCACATTTGATTTGGTTGAAGCGAAGTGAACACAGGTTGATGACTGGAACATATGGATGTAAACTGTCGACCCACATAATTAAATTTTACTCTACTACTACTAGCGCGATGCACGGGAACCAAGATAGAGTAGAAATCAGCTCTGGAACTCATTCTTTTAGTTTAAGATCAGAGTCCGTCTCTCCAGCTGGTTTCTTTTTCTAATCCCTCGGGTATATTTGTTTGAATTTTTTTTAACATTAACATTAAATTTAATGCACTTTGGAGATATGTAACAAATGTAGAAATAAAAAAAAAAATAAATTTAAACTTTATAAATTAGTAAACACTTCTTTGTACACAACGTTTTGGGTCTGATTTGGTGGCAAGTCATCGTCATTACAGGAGTAATATGTGGCCCAATCAGACACGTGTCTTGTCACCTGCTTTGGGATCCAACTACCTCGGACCTCGGTTTGTGTGGATAATCTTCAGAAAAAAATATTTGAGAAGTCGATTTTTGTCTTTAGTGTGAGGTCGGTCCACCGACGTAAGTGAAGTCGGTTTGTTTTTATGTGTGAAGTCGGTTTACTTCTTTATTTGTACCGAGGTGGGTTAAGTTTGTTGTAGGAATAGGGCTGAAAAAAGTGTTGAGGATAATATTAATAAATCCTCCTTTTAATCTTGGAAAATATCTAGAAAATCAGGTCGGTTGCCAACAAATGTTATTACGATCGACTTCAAAAAATATGTTTATCTGTTTTTGTTAAAACAAAACAAAAACAAAAATTGTGCAAAGTGTTACATGTGTCTTTGGATTTGTCGATTATTGAAGATTATGTGCTATATCAATGTGACATAATATTTACCAAAATTAATGGAGTTTGTTACAATTTAATCTTGAGATTTTTTCTGCAATATTTAACTCCAAACAATCCGAAAAAATTATGAAATTTGTTACCAAAAGCAATCCCAAAGATTATTGGCAATATATTGTGGGTAAATAACTACGAAGTGTATTACAAAAAAAAAACCGATATTTTAATAAATTTGTTATCAAATCCGAGATATGTTATCACAATCAGATCAAATTTGTTAACAAAATTCGAGATTTGTTATCAAAATAAGATCAAATTTGTTACCAAAATCCCATTAAATTGGTTGACATGTAGGGTCCTTTGATATTGCTTATATTAGTAAGTCAACAATTAATTTTTTATTTTGAAGATTATGTATCATATCAATGTGACATAACGTTTACCAAAATTAAAAAAATGCTACATGTACGTAATAAATGTACATAGAGATGTACATAATACTCACATGGAGTGGGGTCCACTTGATTTTATGTACATAGTGGGTCTCACTCAATGTGAGTGTTATGTACACCCCTATGTACAATATTATGTACTTATAGCATTACTCCCAAAATTAATGGAGTTTGTTACAATTTAATTTGGTAAGGCTTTTTGGATTGATTAAAAAATAATATTTTTATTTTGATATGTATCAGTTGTCAAATCTCGAGATTTTTTCTACAATATTTAACTTCAAACAATCCGAAAAATTTGCGAAATTTGTTACCAAAAGACATCCCAAAGATTATCGGCAATATATTGTGTGTAAATAGCTATGAAATGTGTTACTAAAAAAATCAATATTTTAAAAGATTTATTATCAAAATCCGAGATTTGTTATCACAATCAGATCAAATTTGTTAACAAAATCTGAGATTTTTTTATCAAAATAAGATCAAATTTGTTACCAAAATCCTAGATTTGTTATCAAAATAAGATCAAATTTGTTACCAAAATCCTAGATTTGTTATCAAAATCTGATTAAATTTGTTACAAAAATTCGATTAAATTGGTTGGCAAGTGAGGCCATTGATATTGCTTATATTAGTAAGTTAACAATTAATTTTTTTATTTTGAACATTATGCGCCATATCAATGTGACATAATGTTTACCAAAATTAATGGAGTTTGTTACAATTTAATTTGGTAAGACTTTTTTAGATTGATTTTTTCTTTTTTTTTTTTATCGAAACGATAGAGGTAGTATTAACTTCAGAAAAAACGAACAATGTTCGAATACAACGAGCCTAACCCGAAAAGAAAACTGAGAGGACTCTCCAAAGGCGGCCTAGATCAATCGAAAGCAAACTTAAAGCACTCAAGAAAGATTATCCACTGCCCGAAGGCCTAGAGAAGTAGACATGACAGAAAAGTACTAATACATAAGCTTGGATAAAATACAAAAACTAGCAGAACATAAAACACTATTAAACTAGAAGATTAAACTCCATCCATTCTTTGTGTGCAGCTTTGATGAGTATGTGTGCAGGAATAGATATTCTTTGAAAAATCCATAGATTCCGCGTCTTCCATAACCACCAAAGAAAATAAGTTGTGAGTTGAATTCGGGCTTTGGCTATGCCAGATGATCCCACTGCGGCAATTTGGTTCCACCAAGATCGGAAACAAACAATAGAAGACCTCCCGTCCCAACTAACTGGAGAGATATCCCAAACTCTTTCTGCTTTAGTGCAATGAAACAAAATGTGTTCTACAGTTTCAGGAGCTTCACCACAGGTTTGGCATATAATATCAATATCGACTCCTCTCTTTTTCAGGTTGGTTTTAGAAGGTAAGGCACCAAAAATGCACTTCCAAAATATAATGCTTCACCTTCCCATGAATTTTGAGTTTCCAGTTATAATTGACAGAAGAGAAGGGAAAACCTGGTGTTGTGCTGCTGTAGGGAGTGTCCAGTGCAAGGAGCTTCTGTTTGGTCAAAAAAGAGTAAGTGCTCGAGACGGTGAACTCTCCTTTCCTGTCCAACTTTCAATATTTCTTGTCCTGTTTGCCTGATTTAAGGGTACAGATTTTAAGGATGCCCCTGCTGTCCTCTTCATTGTAGAGTTGCCTAACTAGCCATGCATTCCAGCCTTTTTCGGTTTCATTAAGCAACTCTTTGACCCATATGATATGCCCTCGAGTTATTTCCAGCAGTGTGGGTTTGGGGTTTAGTAGTGTGGGCACCCAGTTGATATCTGTCAGTTTTGTGGAGACTCCATTCCTAAAATCAACTGCAAATCCCTTGGAAAAGACAGGAATGACCTCCAACCAATTGGACCAGAGCCATGAACATTTTTGGGATTTCACTGCATCAAAAATTGAACAATCAGGGTAGTATCTATCTTTGAGAATTTGACTTACTAGCAGGTGAGGTTGGGTGGTGATCCTCCATAATTGTTTGCAAATGAGTGCAATATTGAATGCCTTAATGTCAATGAATCCCAGTCCCCCAACTTCTTTTGGTAAAGTGAGGCAACTCCAAGCTTTCCAATGAATGCCCCTTGTGTGCTCTTCACCTTTACTCCACCAGAATTGGGAGCATAATTTTGAAATTTCAGTGTATAAGGTTGAAGGTAGCTTGAAGCAAGACACAGAGAAAATCGGTAGAGATTGTATAACTGCCTTTAGCAAAACCTCTTTACCCGTCTAGGATAACAGTTTTGATTTTCAACTTTGGAGTCTTGATTTGAATGAGTCCAGAATAAATTGGAAAGCCTCCATCTTGGATTGTATTTTTATTTTGATATGTATCATCAAATCTCGAGATTTGTTTTTACAATATTTAACTCCAAACAATCCGAAAAATTGTGAAATTTGTTACCAAAAGAAATCCCAAAGATTATCGGCAATATATTGTGTATAAATAACTATAGAGTGTGCTACCAAAAGAACCGATATTTTAAAAGATTTGTTCCGAGATTTGCTATCACAATTAGATCAAATTTGTTAATAAAATCCGAGATTTGTTACCAAAATAAGATCAAATTTGTTACAAAAATCCGAGATTTGTTATCAAAATCCGATCAAATTTGTTACCGAAATCTGATTAAATTAGTTGACATGTGGGGCCCATTGATATTGTTTATATTTGTAAGTCAACAATTAATTTTTTATTTTGAAGATTATGTACCATATCATTGTGACATAATGTTTACCAAAATTAATGGAGTTTGTTACAATTTAATTTGGTAAGACTTTTTAGATTGTTTGAAAAATAATATTTTTATTTTGATATGTATCATTTATCAAATCTCGAGATTTTTTCTGCAATATTTAACTCCAAACGATAAAAAAAAAATTATGAAATTTGTTTGACCAAAAAAAATCCCAAAGATTATCAGCAATATATTGTGTGGAAAATAACTATGAAGTGTGTTACCAAATAAAAAATAGATATTTTAAAAGATTTGTTATCAAAATCCAACATTTGTTATCACAATCAGATCAAATTTGTTAACAAAATTCGAGATTTGTTATCACAATCAAATCAAATTTGTTAACAAAATTCGAGATTTGTCATCAAAATAAGATCAAATTTGTTACCAAAATCCGAGATTTGTTATCAAAATCCAATCAAATTTGTTACTAAAATCCGATTAAATTGGTTGGCATGTGGGGCTCATTGATATTGCATATATTAGTAAGTCAACAATTAATTTTTTAAGTCAAAGCTACTATTTTTGTATTTTTCCAACAACCTCTTTATATTACTATAGATATGTGTTGATACCTAATTTTGGCCTCGTCTATTGAAATATTACACGTGGATATATATTAAATAAATTTTAGGGCTCAAAAATAATACCGGTTGTAATAATATCGGGCCCATTAAACAGATATATATATATCCCCAATGATGGACACAGACAGAGAAGTCTGAGGGGATAATTTTATTTTTCTCTCTTATCTGTTACGAGACACCGCCTCAATTTTCTCTCCTTCATCATCTTTCTGTACTTTCTTCAACAAAAACACAGGGAGAAAAATACAGAAATCACATCAAAAATCATCAAAAAATCCAATACAAAAAATACACAATATATTCCTCTGAACCCCCCATGTTGATCAAATTTCGTGCATCAACAATATGTTAAAATTTGAGAATCATATCACTTTGTTTTTACAACAAATCAACCTAAAACTAGTGCGTAGCCCGTGCGATGCACGGTGAATATTATTAAATAATATATAATTAAAAATGTGGGTTTACCTCACCTTGAATGTTATAAGAAAAAATTTATATAGTAGATACATAATACATACAAAATAAATATTGAGATGAAATCGATAATTATGCAAACATTACAACAAACTTTTTTTTCTTTTAAAAAAAAGTATGCATAAACTAATTCCAAAGATTTATTTTAAGGATAGCAGCTGAAATGCTGTTCACAATATCTGTAGAGCATGGAATTAGTTTATGTATCAATGAAATCTTTTTGTTTTTTTCCTCACAATCGATTTCAAAATATTTCGCTTACTAATTTTGAAATAAAAGAAACTGAGTTTTGTGAAAAAATTCATTTTAAAAATTGGTTATAACAATCTAAAATTTCAAATATATTAGTATTTTAACTTTCATTTGTTTCCAAAACCCTCTTTTTCTTAAAAAAAGGATATATGTCATATAGTATTTTTATTTTTTTAGTTTCATTTGATGTAAATCTTGGAATTTTTTGAGTACTATATTCAAACATTATGATAACCCTCTCCTTTCCTTCACTTCGCTTCGAAAAATTCGTTGGGTCGAGTAGCAGATAAAAAAGAAAAGGACTCAATCCCTGAATCCCATCCTTGGAATCAAGTTAAGGTTGCTTTTGACTCTCTTTATCTCTACCCTGAGGGGTTTATGGAAAAGAAAGATGCTGAAGGATTCCACCGATCTTCAGGCCCCAGTTCCAGTATTGGAGAACACTTCCGGGCTGAAGGAACAAAGAAAGCTCGACTGATCCTTTATTAGGTGAAGGGACTGAGTCTTCTTTTGACGGAACCGGCCCAACTGCATGTGATCGTTCGTGGAAGTCGTGACCCGAAGCTTCAAGAGCTTCCCTGTAGTTATTTAATTATTCTAGGCAATAAAAGAGAAGTTGGATATTATATACAGCTATCTGCATAGGTGTTTAATAAATGCAACCCTTCTTCAAATCATCTTCGACTCAAAAAAATCAGTAAAGCATGCAAAAGATTAAAACGATTGAAAAGAACCAAGTTGAAGACTAAAGCTAAGGCTAGGGGTCGAAGACCCAGAAAAAAATAGGTTTATTCTTTGTTAACTTGAATCATAATTACAATCCGAACTCAAGCGCGAGTTGGTGTTTTGTTCGAATCAAAAAAATCTTTTTTTTTTTTTGAACGTCTTCGNTGTATATAATTGGTTTTTGATGATGATAAGCATTGCATAATGGATATTTATAAGCAGCACGACTAAGTGATGATAAGCATTGCATAAAATATTTTTTTTTCTAAAGATAACATATTCAAATGATTTTTTGAAGATTTTATCCATATAATTTCTCTATAGATAAGAAACCAAATCCCTTAAGTTTAGAAACTTAAATTTTGAATGTACGTAATATACGGGTTGTATTTGTTTATATGATTTAAATTTTGTTTATATGATTTAAATTTACAGTTTTCAATTTTTGAATATTTATTACTTGCATATGAATAATTACTATTAATAGATTGCAATTAATATTGGCGGGTGTTTTTTGCTACTATTTATGATAAATAGTAAATCTTATTATATACATATAGATTCAACTTCCGTACTCATACCAAATAAAATTCATACCACTTATTTTGTTTTCAAATTTTGCAAATACACTTCTACCCATACCAAATAAAATTCATACCATATATATTCTGATATTTCATACCAAAATAAAATTGCCCACTTTATACCATAAAAATGAATTTTTTTTAATAACAACACCCTTCCTACCAAAAATAAAAATGGCCATCAGATACCTAAAATAAAATTCCCCAATTTATACCAAAACCGAAATTATCAATATTGTCAGCTTTATACCACAAATAGATTAATTAATTTATAGAGGCAGGATTTTTTTTGAAAATTTATAAAAATAGTACCAAGTTTAGTAACTTTAAAAATTTTAGGCAGTATTTTAATTTCTATTTCAAGTAAATACAAATATTATTATATAGATATAGATATAGATTATTATTATTATTATTATTATTATTATTATTATTATTATTATTATTATTATTATTATTATTATTATTTTAATATTTTTTTAACTTTCTATACATGAGTCCAATATTCTTGGATCTAATCACCGCAACAAACTGAATTGAATGTCACATACAGAGTAGATTTCACCAAGATAAGTTTAAATAAACTTTCAAATAAATTTAATATTTTCTATGGTAAAACTTTGGCATTTTTTAATAAATAAAAAGAAAAGAAACACATGTTGTGATAGAAAAATTGACATTACATCATCTAACAATTCATCATAATATATTATATAAATTATCTTGGTTGAATGCCTGCTACCATTATCATTTTGTTGTTTTCTTTTTAATCGTTACTTTCTTCATTCTTATCCTAAATTTTATATTGTTCCATATTGTGAATGTGAATATTTCACGATTTCATGTTTTATTTTTTGTCTTGTAAAAAGTAAAACAATATGTTATATTTTGTGTAGAATAATATTAATGATAAGATATTAACTTAAATAGACAAATTATAAATAATTGTTTGTATTTCAATTTCCTTGTATGATGATGAAATGAATTTAACCTCATTTGTTGCACAAATTCATTTCCGCATTGGTATCAATCTAGTGAATTTTATTAGTAAAATCTAGAAGTTACATATAGTAAATAAATTATTAACAATTACTGCAAATTTCTAAATAGGATTTACAAAATTATAATATAATTTACTAACATAATCATTGCATATTACATAAGTACTATCAATTCATGAATAAATAAAAAATAAGAGAATATAAAGAAGGAATTAAAATAACTATAGAATTTTCTATTTTTTTTATCAGTGGATTTTTTCACAAAATTTAACTTATGATTTTTATTAAATCTACTTAACGTTTTTAAATTAAAACTTCTTATTATCTTTTTAAAAAATAATTTATTTTATCTGCATATAATAAATTGATTATATTAGTTTTTAAGCATTAAATTTTATAATAATTTAATGAAATCTAATTATATTCATATTTTTATGGAACATATATGCATGTATAGTGGGTCTTATCCATGTACGACACAATAAAATTTTAAATTCTAAAATAAATTTATATTATCCCAACAATTTTATAACCTAATAACAAATCTTTTTCAAATAGAGAATTCAAATAATTATTATGAATTGATACTAAATCATTTGTATTAAATCATTAGAGATGCGAATCAATAGAGATATTATAAATCCAAATAACCTAATAACATTATTGATTGTATACGCTAGATTTGTGTTGTAGCATAAATTATTTTTCAAATTACCGAGTACCGAATCGAAAGATGCGTTCCCCGGGTCGATCTCACGAGGAAGGCGGTTCGGAATTCAGCTTTGGTATCGATCACACATAAAAAGAAAATAAATCCTACACACTCTAATCAGATAAGGGGATTGAATAATTACTAACTAAGAAATAATAAAAAGCAATAATCTACCTAAAAATGTGAACGGAACAAAGATGGAGAAGCTAGGGAATCGGAGATAATTAATTCAAGTTCTATTCGCAAAACCGGGACATTAATTGTTTTATTCCAGATTGACAATCTCGCTTAAACATCTAGCGGTTCGCTCCCAATAACTCTTCGTAACAAGGGATTGAACATAGACGAACAAGCTTGAGTATACAACACAGGCCAATCATCTCAATCCCAATAACTTTTCATAACAAAGGACGGGTCATCGACAAGCACGTATTTCAATCCAAAACCTATAGACTATTCAGTTACGAAATCATCTATCTCATGCGAGCCTACGTCTACGACTTCTCCCCTTTCGGTTCTAAAAGTCGCTAATTCAATTAGAAGGTGTTTAATCAACTAGTCATATAGAATCAACAAACCCTAACTCGACAAATCAATATCCAATCGTTACCAATTGCAAGATCGAAGTGTCACCCTTCAATTATATCAAACTATCAAGCACAAATTCATCAATTCCGAATTATATCAACTCACATAAGCATGAACAAATCAAGCCCGACAAATACAATTCAAACAAGAATAATCATCCCCTATCCCTAGCAGAAGGAATTAGCTACGTAAATCAAATTCAACACACATAATCATTTCTCACCAATCAACCATTATTCATGAATTAAATAAGAGAAAGAAATTCTTACAATTAATCTCAATCCAAGTGTTTAATCCCATAATACAAAGCTTAATCCTTGATAATACTAAAAAGAAGAAGAAAAATGGAGAAGAAGGATGAAGAGAAGAGAAAAAATGATGAAGAAGAAAGGAATATTTCGTGTTTTTCCCGACCCTAGGTTTTCACCCTGGAGGGGGAGATTAAAATGATTGAGGCCCCGTTCGTGAATATATATAGTACCGAGTGTCCCGGCGCGAAGAACTTGTGGCGCGGCGCGAGGAGGGTTGGTGTCACGGCGTGAAGGTACTGCCGCGGGTGTGAGAGAAGCAGATGCCGCGGCGTGGTGGAGTGGCGCGGAGTGGCGGGCGCGCAGTGCAAGCACTCTATCGGGGCGTGGCCATCTCCGCGAGAAAGTGCGCGGCGTGGGAGTGTGCAGCGGCGCAGAGGGGACTCGTGTCGCAGCGTGGGAGTGTGCAGCGGCGCGAGGGTCTTGCATTGCCGCGGCGCGACGGGAAGTACGGCGTGGTGCGTGAAGCAGCCTCTCTGAAAGGGGTCGCGGAGCATGGCGCGGGCGTGGCGCGGGCCCTGGGCAGGCTGGTTGGCAGCTCGTACGACTTTACGTCTCGGGCTCGTTTGGACTCGTCCGAACTCAGAATTGAGTTCCATTTTTTTCTACTTGTCGCCAACGAACCCTTCTATTTTATTATCCTTGCATGAACAATTTTTGCCAGAAATCCGATTCTTCCGAAGCTCTCGACCTGCACACCATAAATGACGAAAAACCAGAAAAATATACGAGAAACACAAAGAAAACCAAAATAGAGCAAAACACACAATAAACTATAAAACAACCTAAAAACTAAGGAATAGACCTAATATGGGGGAAAAAGAAAGACAAAACAAACGCGAAAAATGTAACAAAAATGGGACAAACAATTTGCCTTTAATTTAGTATCTTAGCATAATTATCGATTGTCAAGCCACGATTTCCGATTTCATTTACTTTTAATTAGATACACCTCCAATTTATTTATTTACTTGGTGGATATATTTTTAATTTTTTAATAGACATGTTTCAAAATCTATTTACAATCCAAATTTGACTTAAAATTACACTTGAATTAATCAAAATGTTATATAAATAATACGTTTGTAACTTAAAATTACTCATGTTAAGTAGGTAAATTTTTTATTCCATATCAAATTAAAGATTCCATATAATTGATCACTTTGTGTAATTTTGGTCGGCCTTATTACTATAGGGGCATGCTTTAATCTTGTTCACACAAACAAAAAAGAGCGGGTAGCTTATGTTGGGAAGATTTTCTAACCAGGATTCTGCATTTATTTTGGTTAATTACCTTGCATAATTACAATTAAATTACCAAAATGCACGCCATTTACATATATTCAATTATATTAATTAATTCACACCATCATTATCAGTTCACCACATATCTCCGCAAAGATATTTTCAAGACCTCATCTTCACATAAATTGTCAACATAACATGAAAAAGGGTCAAGAGAGGCGCTAAAAAGAATTTACAGTCACCGTATTATTCAAGAGGAAGATTGTAGTTAATCGAACAATAATCGGCACTTGACAGACTTTGAAATTCTTAAACTCAAATCTTTCCTCTTGCCTTCTGAAGAAACTCGACTGCTTCCTGCATTTTCCGAGAGCTCCAACGCCCATGTCCCATTTAGTTTGTCCAGGCATCCTTTGAGCTTGGCCGTGAACCGCCTCGTGTAGCCACTCCGGCCGGAGTTCTGGCCGCTTAGTCTTCCAATCTCCGTAGGCCCTTGACCGACGCCAGCTTTTAAAGGATTGTCCTTTTCTCCACACTCACCGATCTACACATCGGATAGGAAAATAATTGTAGTGAAAGAAGTAGTGAATAGATGAAAAATAAATATGTACCAGAAGAATAATGAGGGTAGAGACATATAATGAATCAATATATATAAGTAAGAGTTGAGCAGTAAAATCAGAAAAATATCTGGTTGTCGAGGAAAATTCGGTTAATAACAATACTAAATCAAATTATTTAGGTAATGCAATATATCATTTCAAGTAAAACCCCGACTTAATCTCAACCAGATTTTTATTTCTAGAGACAGACGTTGAGATATTTTTTGCAAAAGGAATCTACAATTGTAAGGTGACATATATTTTCAAAATACTACCTGTTTTTTCCTAAAAAACATGATATGAAATTGATCTCCCGTTTTTTCCTAAAAATATTGATATTAAATTGATTTGAATATGAGCAATCAAAGCTCACGTTTGTAAATCAAAATCTCATGTGTTATTAAAAATATTTCGAACTAATCATAATCCAAGAATTTGTTAAAATTATGAAATTTGTGAACAAAAAAAGATCCCACAAAACCTGTTATCATTTGTTAACGGTATTACGTGGATTATTATTTTTTATTAAAATCACATGAATGTCTATTCTTTATCCGAAATTAGGGAGGTTTGTTTTTCTTGATTTGCGGATTTTTAAAACTGATTTTTGTAAATGTTTTAAATGTATTGGTTGCGTATTTGCCATATTAACAATAAAATATCTTTGCTGTGAAAAAAATCGGAAACATCAATTGGGAGGTTTTTGGAATGATTTAAACAAAAAAGAAAATCAAGAGAAAGAAAAATCATTTTCAGATTTTTTACATGGTTTCCACAAATGGAAAGTCAATGCATTTGTTGACCAGTTTTTTAAAAGTTTCCACAAATGATTTACTGACCTCTCTTTTTCAATATATATAGATTTAAACTCGACCCATTATCCGTTTACTAGTCTCCGGGTTTGGGTTTGGTTTTAGCTGGCAAATAAACGGGTAACCCGAATTTATCTAACGGTGTCATCAACCCCCGACCCAACCCATATAATCAGGGGCGGATCTAGAAAAAACTTTTGGGGGGACTAGAACTTCGAACAAAATTGTCTGCACACACAGCTCGATCAGACTCGCAAAAACTCAAGTTCAACTTGTTTTTATAGTTAAACAAACTAATCTCATACACTTAATCAAATTTGTGTATAACTGAGTTTGGTCTCACTTGTTTATTAAATGAGTTAACCTGAGCTGACTTATTTATTAATCAAACACTAGCTTGAACATGAGATATTTTAACTTGACTCGACTTGCATAACACTTTATAACACACACACATACACACATATGGCATTCCGTTTCATTTTATATTAAAAAGATAAAATAAATACTAATAATGCTCTACAAAAGATATAACTTATGGATTTTGGTATTTTAAAATTGTGTTTGATATTATTTCAGATCACGAGACTCATTAACAATTGATTCCGTGTTAATAGTTCTTGCGATTATTTTTCGATCCAATTGCATGTCTTGCATGCTCTACTATTTCAATTTATTTATTTTTTTATTTTAAGGTATCACATATCTTATACATTCAATTTAATTAAATCCTATATTACAAAGAAAAACACCAAATATTATAGATGAAGAGTGAAAAGTTACTTAAAAAAATATAACGTACTTAAAAATGATTAATCAACAAATCAATACAATACATACAAGATATCTCCGCCTCTTCCCCAAAACTGCTCCCGAAAAAACCTAGCCTCGTTCCCTCAAATCACCGCCGATTAGCCTTCTCCGGCGAAGGTGCGGCTTGGGCCAGTGGTCGCCTAAGACCGCTCGGCCATCCCCGACATCATTCTCTTTCAATTTGGCTACGGTCGCATAGCTGGGGCTCGTCGGGCCCTCTGGGGAAGCAGCCGGAAATTGCGGCAATTTTCCAGCGATGAGCCACTCAGAGGGGTTCTACTGCGCCGGGAAGATGGTAGCTCCGAATCAGGTTCCGGTCTTCGCCGTCTCAGGTGCCGGGAAAGTGAGGCGGGCAGCTATCTTTACCGGAATCTTCGCTGCGGCGATCCTCTGGCTTTCCGTTGTTTGTCGACGGCAAGGAGCAACTGGGATGGTGAGCCTCGGGTTTTGGCCGGCAGCTTCATTTTGGGGCTGCCGATTGGCTTCGATTTGTAGGTTTGTCACTCTGTTTCTTCAAGTCGTAGCTTGGATTTTCTTTAGATGCGTCCAAGCTGGGTTTCTGGTTGTGGTCTTTTGGGGCTTGAGCTCGAGTTTGAGCGACCGGCTAGATGTTGAGAGATGTATTCGTCGGCGAATGGCACGAGACTCCAGCGTCTCGTTGGAGTAGTGGGAATGGCCAACCTTTTTACCCTCGGTTCTCTGGTGTTGGGAACTGGATGGGCCCGGTCACGGGGTCTGGTTGATTATCCTCTCGGTCGAAGGTGGGTTGATTCAGGTTAATCTCGGGATCTAGGTTTAGCTTCTGTATAGGCGTTCGGCAGCAGTTTCGGAAGTTGGGCCTAGGACTTCGGCTCTTACTTGGATTGATTGCTTCTCTACTGGTTTCGATCCGTTTTATTTGCTGGGGAAGGGCGTTGTAGTGTTTTATTTTGTCTGTTTGTATTCTATGTGTTGTTTGTATTGGATGTGTGGTATTTGTTTTAGGTCTTGTGTTTTTGGTATGGGCCGTTGGCCCCTATGTCTTATGTTGTTATTTGTGTTTTTGTGTTTTTGGTTTGGGCCGTTGGCCCCTGTTAACCTGGGTGTTATCTTTATTCTCCTGTGGGGAGCCAACACCTAGGCATTCTCTCTGAGGGGAGCCTTTAGTTTTGTGATTTTAGTTTTGTGATTGTGCTTTAGTTATGTTTCTCTCCCGTGGGGAGCTAGTTTGTAGTTGTTCGTTTGTTTGAGTTAGGTTTTCTTCTGGCGTTGCCAGCGATTCTAGGCGGACTTCGGTCTAGCCTCCCAGTTTGTAATTCCGCACTTTTGTGCGCCTTTTATATAATACTTCTATCGTTCCGGAAAAAAAAAAAAAAAGTATTTTTTTGCCATTACAAACCTTTAACAAATTTTGTTTGATAGAGGGTATTTTAGTCTACACAAAATTTTACAGAAATATTCACCCTTTTAAGTTAGCAGTGATGATGATAGTGATAGGGATAGTGATGATGATGATAGTGATGATAGTGATGATGATAATATATTAAAAAATTTATATATTATTGATTTGAATATGATGAGTCTCCACAACAGAACCAATAATATCTAACACAATGATATATGATAAAAATAACTATATTCATCATCATGCTATTTAAAATACAATATATCATATAAACCATATTTAACATAGTAAAAAAGAAAATAATGAATATACTGTAAAAAGAAACATTGAATGTTCCGCACCAAACAACATCGATTCATCGACATTATCTTATCACATAACTTCACAAAAAGATCCTAAAATCAAAACGATAAAATGAAAAGGCACCTTTGTACTTGAACTATTCCATTTTTGCTTGAATAATGAGCTGTCAAGTTGTAACAGTAGATTTGTATATGCCGATGTTCTACTGGGTAGTTTCGAATGACATAAACACAACTTTCGAATGGCATAAACTCATTCATGATTTTTTTTTTTATTTTTTTTTATGCGTATTTATGTGATTAGCCTATTGGTTGTTTGCAAGTTAGTTAATAGAGTAGAATGTAGGTAAGATACAATTAATTAGGTTATTAAACATAATTAAATGGTTTTGTTATAAAACCAACAGTTGGCTCCATAGTGGAGTCAACCTTCTAATATACAACAAGTAAATCATACCATATTCTCATATCTATATATATACAATGAGAATTAACTTAAATCATATTTAGTAACCTTTTCCCGCCATAATTCTTAAATATATGCTAAATATAGTATTTTTTTACGATTCTGATTACAGAATATATCAGAGCATTAATTGTCTACCGATTTGTTTGTTATTAATTGTTTTTTAGGCAATCAAATATAGAACAAATTTTTAAAAGAAATATATCGGAGATTTTATAGGCAATTAATTGTCAACAACGAGTCAAATTGCTTGCCCGCATATTAAGTTACGAACATTTATCAACTAAAACTGCACAAAGATGAACTTTATTAGACAAAGGTTGCCGAAATAAGAACACACAACATAAAAATGACACAAAAAATCTATGGAGCCATCGGATGGTTTTCTTATGGAGTCATCCACCACTTAATGTATTGACACATGTCCAAATTGTATTTATTGTAGGACACATGTCAATACAGTGAATAAGTGTTGATGGTCGAGCCATCCGATGGCTCCATATCAAAACTGTATAAATATTTTTATAGTATATATAAAAATATTATCTATATCTTTTCTACCGGTTTTTATTGTTACTATGAATATTGTATATAGCATGTGAAATGATTTTGATTTATATCTCTTTTATTCTAGCATTCTTACTCTTTTACCGATTTCATTAATTAATTCTTATTTTTGTACCGATTTCATTTAATTTGACAGAAGATATTGAAAAAGTAATCGTTAAAACTATTGTTATTAAAATATAAAACAACAATAAAATATAAAATAGAGAATTTTTGTCTAATGCTAACGCATTTAATTATATAAAATACAAAATTTCAAGAACTTGGTTAGAAAGAATTATACTATATCCCACAAATGCCACACGAAAATATTGGAAAGAATTCTGTAAAAACTATTATTACTAAAATATAAAATCATTTCTAAAACATAAAATCATTTGTTGTAAAATTATGTTGTAAGAAATTACGAATTTGTGTATATCTTTCAAATCTTTTATGTGTATATCTCTTTTGTTCTATCGTTTTTATTTATATTTTTTTTTATCGATTCCATTCCAATTCATAAGAAGATATTGAAAAATAATCTTTAAAAAAATATTGTTACATTCAAAATGATTTGAATTCCACTCAAAATCACTCATTTTTTAAAATAAGTTACTATGAAGATAAAATACTCCACAAATCGTTACCATAAAAAAAGGATCGTGATAAAACCAAAATGATTTTCTGTAACTAAATTCTTATGTATCTAATAAATCTCCTAAAAAATTTGTTAACAGAATCTATACTTATATAAAGAGCCATCCCATTTACTAGAATTAGTAGGAAGAAAAGTCAAATGTAATTACTGCATTCTATTTCTATCAATTAATTTTTATTTAATTGTTTTTCCCCTAGAATCGGTATAAAAAAAATGTACATAAAACAAAAAAAAAAAGACAGATTTGTTCGGAAGACAAAATATTAATTTTACCAAAAATAAATCAGATGTTAAGCCTAAATTGAAGGATTTGGTTGTCTATATAGATATTGATTTACGTAAATCAATACATCTAATATTTATAGTTTGTGTTGATTTAAAATTCTTTCTTATCTTTGTACAAAAAATCTTATCTAATTGTATGGAAAATCTGATCTGATTTGTTCCTCTACATATAGTGTGATTTCCATATATCAAGATTTTTTCTTAAAAATCTTAACAGATTTTTTCCTACGTATGATAAAACTTTTATTTAATATTGCATCTTATAATATAATATTCCCCAAATAAATATATCCCGTACCTCGCACGGGTCACGTACTATATATATCCCGTACATTTTTCTTTATTCATGTATATATTTATAAGCCTGGATAAATAGCCTTAAAATTATGCACCCCGTGCATCGCACGGGCTTTGCACCAGTAGCTATTAATGTCATATGTAAATACAATCCGCACTTGTCATTCATTGAAATATAAAGACAAATAGTTATTCATTGAAATTTGAATTAATAACTAATATATAACACCTTTTAAAAAAGTGCAAATATAAAGACACTTTGTTGATATGATTGAAAAAAATATTCAATATGGCAAGTATCTTTTACAATAATATTCATGCAAATTGCACTTGTCATTTTCAGTTTTGATATGGAGCCATCGGATGACTCGACTTATGGAACCATCAACACTTGTATTGATACGTGTCCTACAATAAATACAATTTGGACATCTGCTAATTCATTTTTAGAAAGCATTTCCAGCAAAAAACATTAATTACCTATTGTAAATAAAAATAATATAATATAGATTTAAAAAAGTAATCATTAATGCATAGTTTCCATATAACTTGGTTTTAGTTTATGTTTGTTTCAGTCAATTCGCAGTTTCCTTTATTTACGTTGTTTTGTAGGCAAAGATTATGTAAATAATTAGGCAGTTGATTTTGGAACCCTCATGTATGGAGAATTCTTTTTTATTTTAGCAGATTTATTAGAATCATTTATTTAGATTAGCATGTATGTTTATATACACAAAAAATAATTTTATAGTAATATTTAAAATTTATATGGAGCCGATTTTAAAATTCTCATCTATAGAGGATTCTTTTTTATTTTATCATATTTATTAGAATCAATGACTTAGATTGGCATCTGTGTTATATACACGACACAAATTTATAGGAGTATTTAAATTTGTTGATGAAGAAACGATTTGTTATGAGATATGTGCAAATCCTCTTTTTACGGGTCAGATGTCCACAAATCCTTTTTTATGGTATTGTTTTTTACAATTGTTTTTAAAAACCAAATTTTCAAAATATATATCTATATATATAAATCAACTACATCAAAAGTTTTCATACATATAATTGTCCAATTAAAAATTGTTTGACTTAAAAATTAAGCACGAATTAATGTCTAATTACTAATGTTTTTATATTTTATATCTACTGTATAATTTTCTGTAATGTCCAACATTTTGCAGGTCTTAATAACTATTATTCATGCATATTTTGTCGGTAATACATATTATTCACGCATATAATTACTAATAATACATATTATTTACATGTAATATTTTATATATTTTCAACATATTATTTTGGAAACCTTTTTACACATCGTATATAGGTATATATATATATATATATATATATATATATATATATGTGTGTGTGTGTGTGTGTGTGTGTGTGTTAAACTTGTGTGTTTTTAAAGATCTTTACTTACAAAATAATTTTAAAAAACTCTAGGCCACCTCACATTTTTTAAGCATAATATATAATATTTTACATAACCTTATATGTGTTATGTAATATTTTATGTGTTTTTAATATTTTAAACATACATATTTAGTGTTCTTTTATATAATAATATAAAAATATTAATAAATATTATTTAGCTAATCAAGTATAATCAATATTAAAATAATAAACTAACAGCTCATTTGTCGAACAACCATGTAAATTATCATATGATAACTAAATCCTCCCGACCTTAGGTTATCATTTAAGTTGCGCAAGTTCCTACTTATGTTTTGTATGGATGACGAGTCTGATTTTTAAACATGCCCAATTATATGTTGTTATTTCGTGTGTAAGTAATAGAGATGAGTTGAAAATATTAGTTTGTGGGACGATGAGTTTCTTAGTAATTAAATTAATAATTTTGTGTACAAGGAGGTTTTTAATAATATATTATTTTTTCATGAGGAACATTTTTATGATTTGATAATTTTCCTACATATTATCACTCTTTTATTTATAATACACTTCAATTTAATATTTATTTTTTTATTTATTAATACACTTGAATTTATAATATATCCTAAAAAAATACAGCCCGTGCATCGCACGGGTTACATACTAGTTACTTAAATAAATACTATAATTTTATTAATATGGTATGATTTACTTGTTGTATATACAAGGTTGACTCCACTATGGAGCTAATTGTTGGCTTCATAGCAAAACTGCATAATTAAATATGTATCCGATTATATGTAATCCCATAATTTTTGTTGAAAAATAAGTTATACTTGATATTACGTGAAAACTTTTAGGGATGATTGGATATAAGTTATTTTGTATTTGATTGGATTTGTTGGATAAACAAAGTTGATTTTGAGAAATATGATTAACTTAGGTTTAAGTGGGATTTTAAATTTGTATTAAAGGGCAGTGCCCATACTGCTAGCATCGATTTTTCTTTGATGATCAGACCTTTGTATATAGCTCTTGTTGTTATTATATATAGCTTTTTCCTATTTTATAATAATTATTTTTCCCATTGTTTTTCTAGATAATCCGTGAGGCGCAAATTGAACATAATTTTTTTGGCCTCTACCAGGAAAAAACTAACCATGACTCCAGAAATTCATGCCGGCTCTGGAAACAAGTGGTTTTCAGCTTTGAATCAGAAAAAAAAAAATGGTTTAGTCGCATAATTAATATTTGCATGTTTAGCTCAGAACATAGTTACATGGACAGGACCAAAATATGTATTTTATGTTGACAGGTAACTTTTAACTTCTAAGTGATCTGCCTTAACTAATGATTTCAGACTGGATTTCCATTTTCACAAGGATAGTTGAAGTAAAGACGCTGATGATGAATTTTTGTGTACCATTTACAAATGTTGGATCATAAAGCACCGTGAAAACCAGAAAAGATGCAAGTGATGTTGTGACTCACTCTTGCAATACAAACTAAAAAGAAATTTGGATTTTGGAGTTTGTGCACTGATTGATAGCTTGGCTGTGACTCATATTTGCACTCTCTAGCTATGGAACCCAGGAAAACCTTGGCATCTTCTGATACTTTGAATTTATTATATTTTCATTATTTTTTTTTTTTTTAAAAAAAAGGGAAATGAAGTCTAGTAGAGTACCGCAAAAGGCAAGGCTACTACTGTCTTCTGATAAGCGAGGGTCATATATATATGTGAACATAAAAATGGTCTTTCACCCTACACAACAGCTGCTAAAAAGTAGTTACAAAACATTTACAGACAATTTGAGTATGGATTACTCTGTTGAGAGATATATGTATGATCCCAATCACTTATTTGGTCTTAATTGGATTCAGGCATGCTTTTATGTTGGAAACTGAGAAAGTGATCACCACATAACGACCAGAAGAGTGGGAAATAGGATAAGATTAATATAAGACACAATTAGTGAGTGATTAGATTATTAGTGTGGGTATTATTTTAACTGAACAATGTGGATGGTTACTCAGAAAAGTGTATAATACTGGAGTGGGACAATGGAATCAGAGTTGGTCACCCATAAACATTTTGTAAAGTTGTGTGCTTTCTCCTAAACATTCGATAAGATTATTTATTTATTTTGGAATAATATTTTTGCGAAATGAATTTCACCTTTGTACACTTTTATGTTTGTTAGGTGTAGTTGCTAACCATTAGCAGCTTGATAATGCGTTTGTGACGGGTTATGGTTGGACTAACGATATGGTTATGTTTAGTAAACCTAACGGATAAACTATATGATAATAACTAATAAGTCAGACTATAGTTTATAAGAGAATTTTGAGCTTATTGTTGATAGCTTATGATTTATTGCTGAAAAGCTAGCTTACATGCTAAAAGTGTTTGGTAAAATTAGTTAATAAGCTAACTGAATGAAAATATCTATGGACTTATTTTGAAAACTACCTAATGAAGCTTATGAGGTAAGCTCGAGTTTTTAAGAAGTTCGTTCAATTAAATCAAACTTATTTGAATATAGAAAACTTATAAGCTAATTAAAGTTATAGTGCTTACCAAACACATTATATAACAACAAGGTATATTATCATTTAAGCATATATGGTACATTGTAACGATTGTAAACACAACCAAATAGAGGAGATGAGACCGCAATCGCGTTTCTAGAGAAATATGACCAGCTTCGGGGTTTAGATTATTTATTTTCTATTATTATTGATCTTTTTATTATTCTTTCCCTAGTTATATTATTTAGTTTGGTAAGTAAATGAATGTCTGCCTAGCTTGTTAGGCAAGATAAAATTGTTAGAAGACTTAGGACTCTATATATTTATCTCTTGTGCATCAAAGTCGATGGGCTATCACTGAAATTGAAAGGAATCTTGTGAGTTTTACTCTCGCATTCCCAATCGTCTACCATGCTACATTAGTTGGTATCAGCAGTCAGCACGATTCGCGATGCCGCAACAACAAGATGCAATCGACCGGTGTGACGTTGCCATCAATGATCGGTTTCAACAAGTGGAGGACCGATTTCAGGACAAATTTTCAACAGAATGGATGATCGATTCACGGATCTGTCAACGGGTATTGAGGAATTATGTCTCACTATGCGTACCATGGTGGAAGGTGTGNACCAGGGTTCTTCAACGCGCACGACAACCAGGACTGACACTGCAATTGGGGCCATCCGCGCATTGGCGCGGCCTTTGACGGCGAGCAACAACGTCGCGAGTGGGGACCACAGCACGAGGCCGTGGTCTTCGATCGCGAGCGGCAGCATCACGAGTGGTGACCGAAACACGAGGAAGTGGGCTTCGACCGCGAGCTTGCTGCACCGCAACTAAGACCATCTGCGCGACGATAACTTTTAACGGTGGGCAGTAGTGCCGTGATTGGGGACTGCCTCACGAGGGCTTCGCTGGTTTTGGAGGCGAGGAGAACCAGCGACGCCGTGCGATGGAAGGCAGCAGTGAGTCGCGTTGGGAGTTAGGATTTTGGGTCCAGATTCCCGAGTTTTCTGGCGAGCTTGATGAGGCGGAGTTTCTTGATTGGGGACCGCCGTCGAGTCCATGTTCGAGTTCAAAGATATCCCAGACGATAGACGAGTCGCGCTCGTCGCAACGCAGTTTTATGGACGAGCGACAACTTGGTGGATGCAACTCAAAGGCACGCGACATCGTTAGGGCAAGATGAAGATCTCGACTTGGTTGAAATTCCGTAAGCACCTTGACCGCAAATTTTTGCCTTTTAATTATTCTCGTTCACTATACAACCCAGTTACAAGATTTGAGGCAAGGGCAACGTTCGATTGATGATTATATGGAGAAGTTTTATTTCCTTCTTACGCGTGTGGATATCCATGAGACGACAGACCAAATTGTTTCGCGGTATGTTGGTGGTTTTGCATTACCCTATCCAGGTTAGGCTCAATTTATTCATGTCGGATTGGATTTCAGATGCACATCAATGGGCCATCATTGTCGAGCAACAATTGACTTGTTGGGCAAACCTGTCATTTATTCTTTCATCGCGGGCTGGATCTGAGTTCAATGGGTCGGGCTCAAGCCTGTAGGTCGGTCCCGCATTGGCTGGTGCGGATCTATCGACGGGGTTAGCGTCGGGGGCTGGCGCGCGGCAACGCCCAACGGGGGTATTCAGCGGTTAGCGGGGGTTGGGTTTGGTGTTCCGACAGCGGCAGCGGGGGCTGGGGCCAGGTCGGTCGGTAGGCTGCTTTGCTTCGCTTGCAGCAAGGTGGGCCATCGGCAAGATGCTTGTGCGCGGTTCGGTGGTGCGTGTGCATTGTTCACCGAGGAGGCCGGTGACCCCGTCACAACTGACAAGATTGATGGGCCTTTATACGAAGGTCCACCAGTCTTTGACGAGGAGGTCCGTGTGGAACACGTCACTGGAGACATCGGTCCAACACTTCTTCTTCGTCGTTCTTGTTTAACTTTTCATGCGGCACTGACATGCGTTGAGTCTTCCGAGGACGAGGACGAGGTTGTTAATTGTGATGATAATTTTAATCATTTCGACCCAGCCGAAATGAGTCAATGGCTACATCATGCCTCCATTAGAACAATCGTATTGATGAACGTGCGCATATGTCTGGGGGCATGGTTCGCGCACTTGTCTTTGTCGATCTTTCTTGTCTCACCCTACGATGCGGTTCATCGCTATCTTTGTGTCCATGTTGTCTGCGGTTCGCTTGACGAAGTGGGCAGAGGATGTTTTGGCTGCCCTAGGCTGGACTCCTCATTTGGATCACGCTAGCTTGGTAGCTCGTCAGCATAATATGGATTTGGAGATCGATGATTTTTTTGGGTTGTATTCACGAAGGATCGATTTTGGGCGCAGGGTACACTCAGCTGTCGGCGCGGAAGATCATACCGGTTGAGATTATTGAAAAGATTAAAACGAATGCATACCGTCTTCGCCTGCCATCGCACATTTGTACTTCTGACGTGTTTAACGTCAAGCATTTGATGTCGTATCTGGGTGATAGCTCCAACGAAGATGAGACCGATTCGGATACGAGGGCGAATCATTCTCAACCGGAGGAGGATGATGGAGACGAGACCGCAATCGCGTTTGTAGAGAAATATGATCAGCTCCAGATTTAGATTATTTATTTTTTATTATTATTGATCCTTTTATTATTCTTTCCATAGTTTTTTCACCTGGACCGGCCCGGCGGGTAGACCCGGGACCCGATCGACCCAGAGCCAGAACGAGTCCGGGTGGGCTATTTGGACCGGGCAACAAAGGACCCAGTCAAACCCGGTCAACCCGGCCTTGACCCGGCCGACTCGGGACATTGACCCGGTTTGGTCAACCTGGTTGACCCAGTCCATATATATTTTTTCTTTTATATTTTTAAAAATAAAACTATGTATATATGATTATCTGGTAAATATTTATCATGCGATACATATTATTAACACTTTAATGTACAAAATTTATACACAAAACATTTAATTTTGCTATTTTTATATATATTTATATGACAAAAATACTCTATATATAATTTTAAAAATTTTAAAATTAATTATCCGGTTGACCCGGCGACCCAACGGTTGAACCAGTGACTCGAGGACCTGCCCGAGTCAATTACCAGGTCGGGTTTAAAAACTATCATTCTTTCCTTAATATATTATTTAGTTGGGTAAGTAAATAAATTCTGGTCTAGCTTGTTAGGCAAGAAAATATTGTTAGAAGACTTAGAACTGTATATATTTATCTCTTGTGCATCAAAGTTGATGGACTATCATTGAAATTGAAAAAAATATTATGAGTTTCTGGTATCGTATTCCTAATCGTCTACTATGCTACATCACAAACTCAATTAGTGTTAGATTATCATTTAAGTACATATGGTACATTATAACAATCGTATTGAGCCGAAAATTCTAAATACAAACAAACCCAGTTACTATTGAATCTAACAAGTGTTGACTAATTAAGCTTAGCAGTTGATAGGAATAGGATAAGCGAAATTCCTAAATCAAAGGGTGTAACGCCCGCTTATTTTTCTTTAGAAAACTCTAAGTTTTCTGAAATAATTTGCATTTTTCAAAGACATTTTTCGCTTTAAAATTTTCTTTTGGACATCACTGAAAATTTCTTTCTTTTCTTTTCTTAGCTCAAGTCGCACCTTAAGCTCTTGGGGAATACATTTTCCCAAATTCTCATGTCATTTTCCAAAAATCTCGAGACATAATAAAATTTCAAACATAATAAGTTTCGAAAACACATGGGCATATCTAAGGTTTCAACATCCATAAGTCAAAACATCATAAATTTGTAAACGTATGTGGAAGCAATAAAAGCAGTTAACATAATTAAGACCAAACTCATCCCTCGTGTTTGCAGTCAGCTACTCAACCTGAAAAGCCATGTTTTAGATACCTTACCGTACCGGCCGGTAATACCGGATATCGGCCATTGGTGCCGTACAATTGCACACAAAATACCGGATTTACGGTTATACCAGGATAATATCCTGAATACCGAAAATTACTAGTCCAAAATACCGGCTAATAAAAACAATTAATTTAAAAACATAAAATTTAAATTGGTTTAAAATGTTTTATTTATCTCATTGAGAAGTTGGAATTAATAACATGGTCAATCTAATCATTATATTTGCTAGTCCGGTAATATCGGTAATATTACCGGTCAGACCGATAATACAGCGTACCGGT